TCAGAAGAACTAGCAGGTCTTTCCAGAAGCAATTTTACGGTCACATTTTAAAGCAGCATTTCACTTTTAACATCAAAGGATAATCAACTTCACTCATTCAAGTCTATAAGTTTTAACAATTTCTTTAGAGCTCTGAACATGATCAAAATAAAAAAACAGTTGCTCGTCTTCACCTTAAAAGATCACATCTAACGACCTTTTAGCGTATAGAGTAATAAAGTTCAACAATAAATGCACAGCATAAATTAAGTCCACTTCACACCCAATTTCTTCAGCGCTCTGAACACAAGACAAACAACATAAGCTAAAATAACAATAGTTCAGTGTCAACCATTATTTGCTCAGCTTCAGCTTAGAAATCTATTTCTCTTAAAAAAAATCTCCTAGCGTCACAAAGCTGCAGTTGCCTCATCCAATTTCAAAATTTTCAGCATATCTTTTACATTAAACTGACAAATATAGTAAAATTTACAAAAAAGAATAACAGTACCACATGTTCGCAACAAAAAAAAATGTAAGAAAACAGAAAACCGTACCGCAATCAAACAGCAGCAGAGCAAGCAGCTGAACCTCCTCCAAATTGACAGATAACGGAACACGAAACCTAACAGCTGAAACATACGAAGTAACCGCATCAGCCGAAGAAGAAGAAGAACATAATCGGGGAAAACGGATACGCTGGAGCTAAGAGTTACAGAAGGCTAGGGTTTTGGGCGGTAACAAATTTGTAGAGCTAGAAAAAACTGAGCAGAAACGGAGGAGGAAGAAGCGGAAACTTACAGATGAATTCGTGAGTGGATTGTGGACAACGAATCTCGATCTGACAGCGGTAGCAGAAATTTTTTGTTTGTTCTTCTGATTGACAGTCGGAGAAGAGAGAAGAACAGAGAGGGAGTGGTGAAGGAAATTATGGGCAGCTTCATTTGATTCCCATTCTCATCCGAAACGACCCCGTTGCCTTGCCTTCACACCTCATACGACGTCGTTTCAAGTATTTTTTTTCTCTTTCCATTTTTATTTCCCCGTTGACGTTTTTCAGTCTTTTTTTTTCCACGGTTTAAATACTATCGATTTTTATTCAACTTATTATAACTTTTATTTATTTTAATTTCTTAATTTTAAAATGACCAAATATCTATTTTAGTTCTTTTATTTTTATTTTTATCTTGGATGATAGTTTTAGCATGACACTTCACTTACTAAATTTCTTAAAATGTAACTATAAATTTGTATTAAAATATTTTTATTATGTTAAAATTTTACGAATAGAGATTAGATTGATCATTTTTTTAAAGTACATTAATCAAAACAAATTTTTTTGAAAGTAAAAAACTTAAAATAACAAAAATGGAGAATAAAATAACTAAAATAAAACTAATTAAAAGGTATATAGACTAAAATAGTATTTAAACATTTTTTTTATTTCGTTAAGTATTGTAAATTTGTAAGTATTAAACCCGTGATCCATAAGAGACGTAACTAAGGTCATGTTTACTTATCTAATGGGAATCAAAATTCATTTGATGTTGTTTACCACAAATTTTATGGAATTGTGGAATCATTATAAATAGAAAGAAAACAACAATGCAGGGTTCGAACACAGCATCTCTCGCTCCACCACTCAACCCAAAATCTTAAGCAAATGAGTTGGTTAGATTTAATTCATATATTGGATATCTAACATTTGGTAAACACCATCAGAAGAATAAAAGTTTTTGTTACACTTCCTTGATTACATGGTTGGTAAGTAAACAGGGCCTAATATCTTGCGTGGAACTATGTTTATGGGCTAAATATTTTGGTTTTATTCTTTAAAATTTGGTTATATTACAAGCCTCACATCTGTTTAATATTTACAGTTCGAATGTGTGTGTTATTTTCCTAATCTTTTTTGGATTGTATGCTTTGATTATCGTTTGATGGTTTGAATTGTATTGGTTTTAAAAAATAAAAGATAAATTTTGAATAAGGTGATAATGATATGGTAAAATGGGATAGATTATGCCTATTTTGATGAAATAATCTAAACTAAAAAATGGTCAATCTAACCTCGTTGGATTGGTTGAAGTATTTATTTTCGATCAAAATGTTAGAAACTCAAATTTTTAATCTCATGTGTTATTGGACCTAGAAAAAGAAGAAAAAAAACCCTTAGAACCCAAAAATTGCACTCGTGTCTTACAAAACACTACTCTGCTTCGACTTCAAAATGTTTATCGTATTTTCAACTTTGGTTCATTTTAGTCCTCGTAGATTTTAAAAATGGATCATTTTGGTACTTATTTTAAAAATTTAACGCAAATTTTACACACAACGAAAATCCATAAATATAAAGTTATGGTTACATCTCAAAAAATGTATGAGCGTAATGACATGTTCAAATTGTGATAGAAAAAATGAAATTAAAGACAAAATTAATGGACTAATCTAATCACTTCTTAAAAGTATAGGGACCTAAACGAATATTTTCATCGTATAGAAACTAAAATAAACGAATGTAGAAAGAGTGATGAACAAATGAACTATTGATAAGAGATATATGACAACTGCGCCCACGTTAGCGTAATTACTATTTAAAAAGTCCACTAAAACATAATTTAGGTCAAAATACCATTTTAGTCTCTATACTTAATTTTTTTTTCTATTCAGATAATCGTAAAAATAATATTCCTAAAATAAAAGATTTAACGTGAACTAAATTTTTAGATGGAAGATTGATAAAGACTATTTTTAACTAATTGTCAAAACGAGTTTAAAATAGCATTTAAGGTATCTAACTCCTTCCCTTAATCGAGTTTGATCCCATTCCTATAATTATTGTACTAAGAAAATCATCCATTAATTTAATAACTTTTTTAGGTTAAGTTATAAATAAAGTGGAGAATTCAAATCTACTGTAATATGCCAAATAAAAGATATTGATACTAAGCACTTGGAGTTATATCTAGCCACTAATTTAATGCTAATATGACTTTTTTTATCAACTAATTTAATAGTAAAAATGTGGATTATATATATTATACTACTTTACAGTTATATTGTCAATTTAAATATAGAAGGTTTAATTTATCCAAAAAAACAAAGAAAAAAAGAAAATAGAAGGTTCAATCAATTAAAAACAATAAAATTAACTAGTTGAAACTAAATTTATTCCAGAAAAATGACTTTTATTAAATTTGAAAAGAGAATAAATATGGAATCGTTTTCTGAAATTGGGTAGACAATAAAATAAATAAATTATCTTTTCCATGGATGAAAATACACTTTTTTTTTTTACAAGATTATTATAGTTTATGTCACTTGACCCGAGCTCAATCAAAGCGGAAAGAGAATATTGCTTTAAAAAGAAACTAACAAAGAGAGAACAAATTCCATGAATTAGGAGACCTAATCTCCAAATCCATCTCGCATTAGCGAAAGCTACCTATCTCGTTTTGCCTCTATTATAGAATCAGTCGGAGGCTTGAGAGATGGTGATTTGTCCTACAGTAGATGTCAGCGGGTCGAGTCCGCTTATCTTAAACTCAGTGAACTTAACTGATATAAAGTTATATAATAACACTCCATTTTTTGACAGTTCGATCTATGATTTATGATAATCCGTAGCATAGGTCTACTTATTACAAAAGCCAACATCCCTATTCCAACCATTCAAAATATTAACTAAATTTATGTTTGCTTATAATATCTCCGAAAACTGAAAATTTTCTAACAAAATGTGAATTTTCGAAACAAAAGGGAAAGCTGAGCGTTATTATTATTATTATTATTATTATTATTTTATCTTTTATTTTTAGTTTAGGCAAAAAAGAAAAAAATTAAATTGTTGAAAGTAATCCACGGTGAACAGTAACCATGACGGACGAAACGCACCGAAACACCTGTGAAAACGGGCGGCGTTCTTAGCATTTTATCCAAGAATTTATCTCCAGATTCACGCCTCGAATCTTTCAAAATGACGACTCCCACTCCATTTCCCTCTCTTGATCTTCTTCCGATTCGTCTCTCCGCTGCACTGATCTACCTCCGTACAGTGTCGGCTTCATCTCCGATTACGCAGTCGTCGAAGGATCGCTACCTTTGTCGAGAATACTGCAAAAATCAAGCTTATTCGGGCCAATTCCATCTACGTTTTCGCCGAAATGGAGCTCGGGATTGATTGCCTTCTTAGAGCTGCTTGGATTGCAGTAGCATTGCCTATACTTGTTGCTTTCTTACCTTTCTCTAGTCTGGATTGGTTTCGCGGAGTTCTGTTAGGGTTTGCGAGGAGAGGGAAGATCCTGCAGTCGTCGTCTCAGGTGAGTGATCGAGTTGGTCCGATTTCGATGAACTTGCTTACTTTTCTTTCCGCCTCATTGCTTAAAATGTCTGTTTGGTCGTGAGAAAATTGAATCACGGTGAGGAGTATTGAAGAAACCTTGAATATTAGTGGCATTATGGGCATTGGATGGCGGGAATCTCTGTGTCTTACCTTTTTGTTCAAAAGTAATTGTCAGTTTATGCGAATATGATGATTGAAAATTTGAAATATGGGAGGGGATTCCAATCTGTATAGTAATTATACCATAAAGCTTCGGTATATCAGCTATAATTATACCAAAACGGTTCAATATTTACATTACACTTTATTGAACTAATGATTTGACATGTGTGGCATAGAGGAGAACGCCAGTTAGGTAAAGTAGAAGCAAATTGGCAAAAGACTCGATGGGGGCTTTAAACCATTTTTTTTGGCCGGTTGCCCAGATTTTATATAATTGACATATCCCTTGTTAGTCAATGGCATGAATTTATTTGAATGAAAATTGGAAGTTCTAGGACATAATTGGAACTTTTTGAAGTTTAAGAATATAGTTAACAGTTAACACAAAACCCAGAGTCCAGTTCAGGAATTACTACTTTTTTTAAGCAACTAATGTGAATTGCTTAACAATTTTCTGGTGTCTGTGTAAGATATACTCTTATTTACCCATATTTTCCAAATTCAGAAATTTACTGTGCCTCAGAAGTACTTCTGCCACTTCTATGTGTTGGCTGTTATCTGGACAACATTGTTGCTAGGAACAACTTGGATATATGCATATGCTTTGACACCGGAAATCTCAGAGCCCTTTAATTTTCCTGCCATTACGAGCCAGTTGACTGGAGGTTCAAGTTTGTTTTCATGGGGCAAATCTCTTTCATCACGAAGGGAAACCAGATTCCTGGTCTGGAGAACTGTTTTTTTGCTTTTATTAATGGAAGTTCAAGTTCTGAGACGTCTTTATGAAACAATATATGTTTTCAACTACAGTCGCTCGGCTCGGATGCACATCTGTGGCTATTTGACTGGCTTCTTGTAAGTACCATCTTGAAGCTCTCTTTGGCTGTTGTCCTGTTGCAATATATATACTATACCCATTCTTGTCCGTAGCCACGTGATATAGTCTCTACGTGTGATGTTAGACCAGTTCTTTTGCTCTTTGCTTCTCAGAATGGAAAATGCTATTTGGGATTTGAATTTACTTTGCTTTTACATATGTATGAATGTGGTATGCATACTACATTCTGTTCTATAGGAATGGTATGTTGATTTCTGTTATTTTCTATTGTTAGTTTCTACACGGCAGCTCCTCTATCACTTTGTAGCAATTTTATTCCAGAAGTGTATCACTTTGCTACAAATGGACTAGTCAAGTTCATTGTTGAAGGCAAAAGGCATATGCCAGATGTTGAAGTGTTTGATTTTGTGATTCCTCTGACAAATTTGGGGTGGCATCAGTGCATCGGTGCAGCGTTATTCTTTTGGGGTTGGATTCATCAGCATCATTGCCATCAGATTCTGGTACGATACACCGTGAATTGTATATTCACATATCATATTTATTATCTCCATGATGGAACTCGAACCAGTGTTCAGTTCACAATGCTTTTTGATCCTTCATTATTCACAGATTCCTCAACAATGAAAAATGTTTAGTATTAGGATCCTTTCAAAAATCTCGAAGGAGTTTGGAAATTTTCTCACCAGGCAAATGCCACCATATTCTTAAAACAAGTCCTATATTCATTTGACTGATACATAGCAAGGTTCATTTGTTTAGGGCTCGCTGCGGGTACCTGGACAACAATCTGAAGAATATAAAATTCCTCATGGTGATTGGTTTGAAATTGTATCTTCTCCACACTATCTTGCCGAGATTGTAAGTTTTTCTCTCATGAACTTGCATAGACTAACTTCAAGTTTTCTTGTCACTAATTCTTAGCTACTACTGATGGGGTTCGTCTCTCTTCATTCTCCTTTTAAAGGTTATATACGCTGGACTGGTGGTTGCTAGTGGAGGAGAAGACTTGACAATCTGGCTAGCTTTTGGATTTGTGGTGAGATTCTTAGTTTTTTCTGAGAATTAACATGAAGTCTACTCTGTTCTTCTGTTTCTCTGAGAATTATCATTGTCTTTTTGTTTCATTCCCCATAATCTTCTGTTGGGTGTTTGCAGGTGGTAAATCTGGCCTTTGCAGCAGTAGACACTCATAGGTGGTATCTTCGTAAATTCGATGATTATCCGAGAAACCGGTTTGCTATTATACCGTATATCTACTGAGCCATGTGAAATTTACTATAAGCCATACTTTCTGTAGTGAGATTACTTGTTTTGAATATCATTATGTAATTATAATCATACTGTGTAGAATTTCTGCCCTGCACTGGAGTTGCAGCCCTCATATTTTCTAGGCCTGAAAGTAGGTTGCTCATTTGACATACTGAGGACAAGTCGAAACGAAAAAGAGATGAAATTGAGTCGATTTTGTCAGTTAGAAGTATAGTTGTCAACCTATTCAAAATTTTTTAGTATAAAATTGGAAATAATTGATTGGTTTGATTTTTATCGTTTTGAGTTGGGTGACTGATTCCTCTTGATTCTCAAAAACTAGATTTTGTCGTCAATTAGCGCTCAATTGGTTAATGACATATATCCTCTAACTAAGAAGTCGATGATTTGAATCTCCAATCCCACTTGTTATATGAACTCAAAAATCAGAGTCCGTCTCTGATTCCCGACCCTTTAAAAAAATGCCAAGATTTTTGTCCAAAAAAATCAACTCGAATCAAATCACAGGCCTGCTTGCACTCCTACAAATGCATCAAATGCTTGGAAATTTTCAAAACAAAAGATGGGAAACAAGCCAGTTCTTTGTAACAAAGACAAGAAGTCGCATGTGTTCTTTCCTGTGGGAATCTCTCTGCCATTTTCCTCATTTTGGAGAAATAAACGAAAGCAAAAAGCAATTTAAGGAAAAAGAAAGAGCTTTCTTTAGCTTGATCTTGAAAAGCAGTAGTTCAAATGGAATCTGCTACATGATTCATTATCTTGTGATGGAATTAACAAAGCAATGGAAGTTTTAGAGACTTCAACGCAGAAGAAACAGTTCACAAATTTGGCCTCAGGACATCATTACCTATGCATACAAATCTATGCCCCAGAACTTGGCGGGCTGGTTTGTTCGGTATTTCCTGTCAATTCCGTTGATCAAATCCATGTCCTCTTTTGTAAGCTTAAAATAAAAAACTTGGAGATTCTCTTCCAATCTCTCGCGTTTCGACGTCTTCGGTATAACAACAGTGTTCCTTTGGATGCCCCACCTGAGAGCAATTTGAGCAGCACTCTTCCCATATTTCTTGGCAAGTCCCTGAGGAAAAAAGCTTGATAAGAATGTTGTGCAAAATCGAATATTGAAGCTGCAAAGTATGCAATCTCAGATAACTTACTTCAAGAACTGGATCTTCCAGACAAGAAACTGTACCAAACCATTCAGCGTTTGCAGCGGCACCTCCTAAAGGAGTGTGAGCTGTGACACAAATTCCATGCTTTTGGCAAAATTTGACTAGAGACTCGCGTTGAAAGTAAGGGTGGATTTCAAGTTGGTTTACAGCAGGCTTCACTTTTGAGTAAGCTAAACAATCTCTGGTTAAAAAGATATCGTAATTGCTGCAAGTAATTGTTCAATGAGAATATAAATACTCAAAACACACAATTCAAATGCAGTGGAATCAGTCGCAGCCAATTGTAAGAAGAAAATTAGAGTTTGTTCGAAAGTGTTCTTTTACGAAAAATGTTTTTTATTTTTCAAAACTATTTATGTTAACAGTACTTTGATAAAAGTGCTTAATAATCAAACATTTTGTAGTTCGTGCTTTTGAAAAATCACAAACTAAGTGAAAAAATAAATTATAAAATTATAAAATATTACTCAAATGAAAACATTAAAAGGAAAAAAAAAAAAGATCTTCTAAGGTGTGTAAAGAGAGTAGGAGAAATTGCATTCGTAAAAGAGACTGACAAGAGGGCAGGAATGAAAAGAGAGATTGGCGACACAAAAATGTTGCAAACATGCGAGATAGTTTAAGGAAGGTCTAAATATTCTTTTATTTTTAATTTTTATTCATTTTAATCCATTTACCTTTGTTTGATAAAAATTAGTAGGGACAATTCACCCACTAAACTTCTTAAATATAGCTATAAATTTGTATTAAATAACTTTTATTGTGTATAAAATTTTACAAATAAGGGATCAAAATATAACTTTTTAAAAATTCAAGGTCCGAACCGACGTTTTAAAAGTACGGGAACTAGGGAACTAAAATAGACAAAGTAAAAGGACCGAAATGAACCAAAACCACGAGAACTAAAATAAACAAATATTAAAAGTAAAGGGACCGAAATGAACCAAAGTCGAAAGTATTGTTAAATAATTAATAGGGATGTCCTAAGAATATCAATCACGTCACCTGATTCCAATGCTGCGAACTAAACCTTTAGAAACCAGATCTTCCATGGCATGCCAGGTGGTTTCTAAAGATATGGTTGTATCAATGTCCAGCACCCCATCTTCAGCCAATTCACTGCTAGTATTGCCGACCCCTTTATTTATTTTGAATTGACAAAAAGAAAAAAAAAAAAGGGAAATAAAGTAGGAAAATGAGAATCCTTTTGATGAACAGCCGCGAGAAACGGATGATGTTTACAGATAATGATCAAAGAAGATGAACTGCACCTGTATGCTTTATGGCAACTGGGAAATGCACCAAGTAAAGATCCAAATATTGTAGTTGAAGCTTCTTTAGGCTGTCCTTGCAAGCCTCAAGAACATGTCCATGGTCTGAATTCCAGAGCTGCCATTGTCATGAGAGCCAACAACAATGATTCAAAGTGAGTGTGGGATTACGTTAATTAGGAAGGTTAATTGAATGCTTCTTCTAGAAGAACTTTTTATAGTGTTCCAGAATTTTCAATCAGTAAACATCGTGAAATCTTTGAAATGCTTTTTACATCGTTCTAAAATCATACCAAACACACCCTTAAAAGCACCTCAATGTCTGAATAACTTCAAGTAACGCAGACAAGAAGAATTGGAAAATCAAACTCACCTTTGTGGTAATGAAAAGTTCTTCCCTCTTGACAAGTCCACTCCTAAAAGCTTCAGCAAGTGCCTCGCCTACTTCAGCTTCATTTTTGTAATCAGCTGCAAAAAACACAATCTGTTAAAAATCTATGCCGCTCACGTCTTCCTCAGACAAATATCTCAAAGAAATTAATCTTTTGAAGTGGTCGCAGTAGAAACTTTTTACAAGAACTATACACAGCCTTAGACTAAACGATTGAACTTAAAGTTCAAATCGTAGTATTAAGGATAAATCAATAGAGAATTTGGACAGAAAACTCAAGCAAATCGATGAACATCCGCTATTTATACACAAACAACTCCAGCCAATCGATGAACATCCGATGCAATAATCTACAACTCAAATCCTTCCATTATTTCGTCGCAATCTCACGATTTCTAAATTCCACTCAAGAAAATCCGAAACTCTTCCAAGTTCCAGTCTCATTAAAGACTAAAACCATAAAGTCGACATAAGGAACTACACAAGGCAAGTATAAGCTAGAGAAACTGAGAAATGAAGAAGCAATCGGTAGCAGAACGATACCGGCGCAGTCGAAATGGCGATAACCAATCTTAATGGAGTTGATTATGAGGTCTCTGACTTCGTGCTTCTCCATACGCCAAACTCCGAGTCCGATCACCGGCATCTCGAAACCGTTGTTGAGAGTTATCGCCATTTTGGATTTATCGGACCTTTCAAACTGGCTCTGCTACTCCACTGCTAAGCTTTTGCTTGTGATTTTCCTTCTGGACTTCCTGAAGATACTATTTTTCTTGTTTCTGCAGACTGATGCCGGCTTCATCCGGATTTTAACGGCGTCGTTTAATGCAGTGATGTAATAATCGTCTTTTTGGCAATGTTGGGCGGGCCGTGAAGAAAATCCTAGTTTTGGGCCGAGGCCCAAAACCCAACAGAAATGGGCTTATCCGATTTTTCTCTGTAAAGCCCATTGTTTCGATAGGTTAACATTTTTTTGGAGAAATCTGAATATATACCTAATTTTAAATTTTAAAGACGTAATTGAAACTTTTGAGAATTAATAGATTCTATATAGTTAAAATATTTATAGTCTGAACTCAACATAACATTAATAATAAATCTTTTAAACTCATTTAAAATTTTTAAATTTCAGCATCTTTCATAAACTTACAGAAATATCCACTCAAATCAACCTTCTTTTAAAAAATTAATTTAGTTAAACAATTTTTTAAAATAATCTTCCTAGTTTATATTCATGTATGTTTGTTTTCTTGGGCAGGTTATCTATCAAACTCTCATCAAGTTATTATAACAAATTTAATGTGAACCATTTTATTAATTATTAGTCGTTATTACCATCTTAATTACAACTTAACTAGTTAAAGAATGGGTGATCTTTATTGTATTTTAATAAGGAACGCAACGAGTCTTCTAAAATCATAAGGTCTCAAGCAATCATATCACTTGCATGTATCGTTTAGCTGACCCTCGTTTTCATAAAATTCAAGTATCGAAATTTTTACCACAGTAAATATTGACCTTGATCTAAACCACAGAAGATGAAATGAAACGAAACAAGAATCAAGTGTATCGTCATTCTTATAATGGAACTAGCATAAGAAAAGAAAGAGTGGCAACAAGTCCAATGCATCTCGACAAATTACAAATATATAGTTGGTAGAAAATTTATTTAATAAATTATATTGCATAAAAATTAAGCATATAAACCTATGCCCCATGACCTGGCAGGTGTGTTATTGGTTCTATATTTCCTGTCAATGGTGGAGATCAAATTCATGTCCTCTTCCTGAAGCTCAAAATCAAAAACTTGGAGATTCTCTTCCAATCTGTTCAGTTTTGTTGTCTTTGGAATCACCACAGTGTTCCTTTGGATGCCCCATCTCAGAGCAATTTGGGCTGGGCTCCTCCCATATTTCTCACCCAGTTCCTAGTGGGCCAAAAGCCCAGTAAGAATAGAATATATTTCAATGCACAAAATTTAACAAAAAATGGAGGCCTGGCCCATACGAAAAGGTCGAAAAGTCGGTTATGCTCTATTTAGCCAAATGTTGGTGACAAGGTCCAATTTGATGAAATTGAAAGTTTATAACGAAAGTTAGTATACCATACTATGTTTAGACATAAAAATTGGGTTAAATTACAAGTTTGGTCGATGAACTCTCATTTTATGTGTAATAAATTCATAAACTTTAAAAAAATATTAATAGGTTCCCAAAATTTCAATATTATATATACCAAATAGATCTTTGGACAAATTCAATATTTTTAAAATTCATAGATCTAGCATACACAAAATTCAAAGCTTTAGTCTTAATTAGACATAAAGTTTAATTTTATGTCTAATAGATCCATCAATTTTAAAAATTTTCGAATACATCAAACACCTATTAGATAGAAAATTATCTAAGACTAATTATTAGTTCAGGGACCGGACCTATTTGATACATTTTAAAGTTCAGAAACCTATCAGACACAAATATGAAAGCTCGAGAACTAAATATGCAATTTAACCTAAAAATCAACATATAACCTCCACTTTGTGTTGGCAAAAGTTTAGGAAATTTACTTACTTGAAGAATAGGATCTTCCAAACAAGAAAGTGAACCAAAGCGTTGAGCATTTGCAGCAGCACCCCCAGAGGAGTATGAGCAGTGACACAAATTCCATGCTTGTGGCAAAATTTTAGGACAGACTCTCTTTGAAAATAAGGGTGAATTCCAAGCTGGTTCACAGCAGGTTCACTTTTGAGGATGCCAAACAATCTCTCGTTGAAAATATGTCGTAGTTTCTGCAACATTCAAAATTTTTTTTTTTGGGTTTTATGATCATCCGAAAATAAATACCCAATGCAAATATATGCACTGAAATCGTTCCGCTATGAATTATAAGAGAGTATAAGAAAGAACGATGTTAAAGTGGGTAGGAAAGTACTTTTTGGCGAGTTTGTAAGGTAAATGCAAATAAAGTTTCACATTGGCTAACAAAGAGCATGATCACAGTATTTAGATGAGGACAATTATGTTCGTTGATATAAGACATTTTGAGTGAAACCAAAAATAAAATTGTGAGGATTATGCCCAAAACAGATAATATCATACCATTGTGGAACAATCCATACCTGATACCGATGCTTCCATACCTGATACCGATGCTTCGAGGAGACAAGATCTTCCATGGCATGCCAAGTGGTTTCTAAAGAGATGGTTGTATCAATGGCCAGCATCCCATCCTCATCCTTTTCACTCCCAGTAGTGCCCACTCCACTTATTTAGAAATCAAAAAAAGACAACCAAAATAATAATAAAAAAAAAAGAATTAGGAAAATGAGAAGGGCATTATTTTTTATTAACGTTTCCATTCCTTAATTTCTGTTTCTAATTTTATTAAGAAATTTAAGTATTTGACAACTATTTATGTTTCTTGTTTTTCATTTTTTTAGAAATGTTCTCAAAATTACATAAAAATTTTGGAAACAATCGAAATAAGTTTCTTATTTCTTGTTCCCATTTTCAAATTGTTCAAACATAAATAAATATATTATTTCATTATTCTTGAATCTATCAATCTTTAGATCATGCAATTTTGTTTTTCTCTGTTAGAAAAGAGGAAACATCAAAAGGAGTACTTCAAAACTCTTTTATTTTTAAAAAAATGGTATAGAAACTAAAATGTGACCTATTTACCCCTTTATTCCTAATTTTTTAAAAATTATTCTAGTCTTCCAAATTACTCGAAAAACAGCCATGAGATGAAGAAAAGCACCTGTATGCTTTATGGCAATTGGGAAATGCACCAAGTAGAGATCCAAATATTGTAATTGAAGCTTCTTTAGGCTGTCCTTGCAAGCCTCAAGAACATGTCCATGGTCTGAATTCCATAGCTGTCATTTGAGACATGTTTAGAATTGATTTTAATATAGCTAGAATTTCGCTCACTAATATCAAAACGTTATCACGTAGTGCTTCTTCCCCTCTGCTACCTATTTTTACTAGTGGAGTAGAGATTCTCGATTAATTACTTGGAGGATGAAGTGATTTTTATAAGAGAACTTATTTTAAGTCAAGACGATTTATTTAGACGGGAGTAACTCAATGCTTTTTCTAAAAGTACTTTTTAAGTGTTTTTTTAGCTTTCAATAACTAAACATATTATTAATTTATTTTAGAAATACTTCTTTATGTAGTTCTCAAATTTGGTCCTTAATATTTAAAAATTTTAAGTTCTACTAGGAATGTACTCAATTAGGTTGTTAAAAAAAAAAACAAACTCAGGTCTAATTAAGGCCCGATTTAATTACCATTTCATTTTTAGTTTTCTATTTTTGAAATTTATGCTTGTTTGCTCACAAATTTTTTTGGTATGTTTTTGCTCACAAATTTTTTGGGTATGTTTTAACTATTTTTGGAAACATATTTGAATTAACTGTTAGCCAAATTTAAAAAACATAACAATTTTTTAAAAACTATTTTTTACAGTTTTCAAATTTTAGTTTAGATTTTGAAAATGTTTTAAAAAAAATAGATGCTAAAACAAATAAATAAATGAAAGTAGTGCTTACACAAACTTAATTAAAAAAAAAAAAAAGACAAAATAGTTATTAGACGAGACTTAAATTATTATTCACTAACCCATAAAAATATGTAGGCATGTCCCCACTTGAAAAAAAAAAACTTTATTGATGGGTAAGTTTGGATATTTTGAGAAGGGACGAATGAAATATTCATTTATGTGTCAAATAGTATTTTGTACATATACGTATTTAAATATGCTAATAAATGATATTTTTTTTGAGGAATGAATAAATGATAATTTAACGATGAATCAACGTTTTCTAACATGGTTCTAATAAAAATGATACAATTGATAATTTTTTAATACATTAAGGACAAATTTGATCATTTAAAATATTAATGATCTAATTGAACATTAGATAAAAATTTAGGACTAAGGTGTATATTTTGCCTTACTTTTAATTTATGGGCTAAAAATGCTCTTTTTTTTTWAAAAAAAATTTTAAGGTTTTAAAATCATTTGAAACTCACCTTTGTAGTAATGAAAAGTTCTTCCCTCTTCACAACTCCACTCTTAAGTGCTTCTGCAAGTGCTTCCCCAACTTCAGCTTCGTTTTTGTAATCAGCTGCAAGAAAACTACTTTTGTTAAGACATTGATATTTTGAGGTGGCTATAGTAATAGATTTTTTTTTCTTTTGATAATCCAATAGGTTCGGGTGAGAATCTAATCTTTTACGTTTCACACGAAGTATCTAATACCTTGAACTAGTTAATAACAATCTTTAAGTGCTTACTGGTCTGCATCCATTTTTGAAGACTGTAGAAATGCAGTGTGTGTATATATATATATATATATTGAAAAAATTAGAGAGTTGTCAAAATTTTATGAGTGGATCTGTGTTGACCGATCACTTTCTAAATATTTTTCAACCAATTTTTTTTTATGGAAAGAATTCTTAACCAGTTTAATTTGTGCTCTGAGTTAGTAATCCAAATAGAAATTTGACCTATGAATTGCATGTTTATTGGTGGAAGATGACCATAAACCTGTACTAAATAATATTAATAAAAAAAGGTTAAAATACTATTTTGGTGAAGGTAGAGAAACCAAAACAAACCAAAGCTAAAGGTAGAGTGACACAAATAGTATTTAAACTTAAACCAAAATTTTAAATTGAGAAACTTAACAAAATAATTTGCCTACAATATTACTTTTGAAAATCATGACATAAAATGAAAGAAACTACACCAAACAAGTATTAGAAGCCAGAGAATCCA